AATTTACAATTATATATATTGAAACTTTCAGTTTCTTGTCTAATAGACTTCAAAATCACCAATAAAAATAATTTTTAATCCTTAATGATTTAATTTATTCAATATATGCTATGTTTCAAACAATATTAAATAAATTAATATAAACAATTGAATATTATAATTTCAATTGAATTTCACAACTCTGCCCTAATATTGGAATTAATACAAAAATGAATTTCAAAAGAAAGAAATAAAAATATGAGAACAAAAGTGTGATAAAATAATAATTTTATTAAAGAAATTAAAAAACATTATAAAATAATATAAGAATTCAATATTTATATACTATAGTCCAAGTTGTTCTCTTTTTCATTAAGGCTAAAGGAAAATATAGCCTTTTTATAATGTTTTGGTCAATTGTTGATCGCTCTACTGTAAATATTTATGTATGGTCATCTAGTTTACACAAAAAATAACTAAAGAATTATTTTTGTTACACTTGAATGATTTGCAAAGAAAATTCTTATTTGTAAAACAAAAAGCAAAATTATTCAAAATTACACTATTATAATTGTTTTTGAGCTCTTAATAAAAAATGTTTTTCTAGTCTTTTTGCAAATAGTTACTTAGAACTACAAAGAAGCTTAGTTGGATTTTGAGCTACAGTACTCCGAATTAGCTGCACCGTTTGAAATATTATAGATGTTTTGAGAATTCTTGAGAGAAATATTACTTTGCTAATATAAAAATATATATATAACTAAGAAATAATAATAAATTATGATAATATATAATAGAATATAACTAAAGTTAATAAAAATTCAAAAATTTTTTAGTAACAGTGGCTTTGGCTACATATAAGATCCAATTGTTTTAATTAAATTTTTCTAATTAACAGACTAAACAAAACCAAATTGCTTCATTTTTCAAAATAAATGTAATCTCTTGGATAATAAATTTTTTGATTATAAGTATAACTAGTTTGGTAACTAGGCTATTTATGAAATTAAGTTTTTGTCTTTTTTTCAATATTGGAATATTAAAACTATTGTGGCTTGCTATAATAATATTTGAATACTTGAAAAAAATTTAATAGGTTGATTTAATATGTTGATTTTTGTTTAAATGGAATTAATAAAACTTTTATTTAGAAAGGAAATAGATAAAAAGTATTCAAACTTTTATAGAATTATTTACTTGTTAATATATTGTTTAATTTCTTTTTTTTATTGATTCTTTGATAATTTTTTTAGAATTTGATCAATAAATTGATTAAAAGCTTTTCTATTAGTCTTGAGTAAATTGTATGGAAGATAAATATTCCTAAGTATTTGATATTTTTGTAAAGTTTAAGAACCTGTATCAGATGATTTTCAAAATTAATAATTGTTGGATTGCCTTGTTTAACCGATATTGTTTATAATTTTGGTTTTGTCTTTGTTATATATGATATTATTGATTTGAAAGAATTGACTTATAGTTTTGAGGAGAGCTTCTATTTTGGGCTTGAAATCGGATATCAATATAATATTATTTATATATGCAAAAATATTTGAAGCAAGATAATTTTAAATATATTTGTATTTGAATATTTTAATAATAAATGGATTATAGAAAATTATTCAAATGATTAAAGAGATAATTTTCTCTTATTCTAGTCTATTGTTAATAAAAAAGGAATTGGTGGATTCAAATGGTGGATTCAAATAGTATATTAATAGTAATTTTTCTATTTATAAAAAGATTAGAAAAGAGATTGATAAGTTAAGGGAAATACCTGATTCTTTCTATAATTTTTTGGATAGATAAAATTGGGATTGAGTCAAATACTTTAATAATATTCAATAAGATAAACCATAACTCTTTATTGTTTATATTTGCAACCTAAATAGCTAAGTTAATAATAATTAAAGGTTCTAGGATACTTTGATCAGATAAACTAGCAAAGTTGAATTCTGATAATATATTATTTGATTTTATTGTTTTGATTAATCTTTTGTTAATTATTTCTGTAAATATTTTTCTTACTGAACTTACTAGAGAAATAGGTCTCATATTATTGAACTTATAATTTCAGATAATTTTTTTGGGTATTAGTATTATAAATATTTGTTTCTATAGATAAGAAATTGTAAAGAATAATAAGATTTGGTTGAAGATTAAGGTCAAGTGGTTTGTGATTTGTTATTTATTAGTTTAATTATATTTAATTAATTTTTGATTTTCTGAAAGCTTTGTTTTTAGAAAGATTGTAAACAGTTTTATTAATAAAATGAAAATTGAAAGATATTAGAATTTTATTATAAATAGAATTATTAATTTGTCTAGGAAATATTTTTTCAACCAGTTGGAAAACTTGTTAAGATCAAAGCTTCTTTCTTATATAATATTCTTGAAATATTTGTTAATAGTTTCTTGAATTATTTAAAGATCATCCTTTATTTGTCCATTTTCATTATATATTTAAAAGATTAATTTTTGCACTTAAAAAGCTGAAAATATTTTTAATATAGCTTTTGGATTTTCTATAAAAGATTTTTACTATTTTATTTATATTGTAGTAGAATTCTTTTAATAATTCTTGTTAGGCTTGAGCTAAGGCTTCATAGATTAAAAGATTTTTAAGTTTTCTTAATATTAAAAGAAAAATATTTAAACTATTATTAGTTGTAATATATATTAAGCATTGTTTTTCTTCTGCAAGATAGATGACATTGGATTTTTTTTTGGTTTGAAAATAGTATTGTTGATTTTTTTGATTTGACTCTTGAGTTTTTTTTCTATATTGATATGAAGATTTTTTGAAACCAAGTTAATCTTGATTTTTTTTAATATATTTATCCATGGAATTTTTAATAAGATAATAAAGGTTTTTCCAATTAAAAGTAGTAATTAAACTTGATCAAGTTTCTATATCCTGAATAAAGTTTTTAATATTTTTTTTGAAATATTTTTGATATTAAATTTGTAGTTTTTTTTAAATTCAAAATTGTTTAATTTAATTGATTTTTTTTTTTTTTTTTTATACGACTAGCAGGGCCTTACCCAATGTTGGACGAATTTATTTAGTTCACATATGTATCTTACATGTATTACAGGTAATTACTATCTATGAGCTATTCTAGACCACCATGGATTATTATCGGATTTTATCCCCATATCGGCTTTTTGCTATCGACTACCATCTCAGACAATTCAAAGTTAATGTGCATTTTGCTCCATTAGTATCATTATTTTATGTTAAGTTTTATTTACTAACCGGGAATGTTTAAGGGAAAATGAAAGGGGAACTGGAGGGTAGTACCTATTATGGCGAATAGAACTCTGTAGAGGAAACCTCTAACCCAATCCAGACTATCGGTAATTTGCAGGAAGAAACACCAGGTACCACGAGGAGATGATCACCAAGCCATCTTTTCTCAAACCAGACGCCTTCTACACCTTTCTGTTGTCCAACTTCTGGCAATCATCGTAGCACCAACCGGATGATCATCACACTATGACTCCTTTTCTGGAGATCACAATCTTAACGCCTACTGGATCGGCATGTGAAATGGCTTCTTATGAGAAACGACACGTAACTGGTTATGATGCCGGATACCATATTAATTCTATTCAATTGCCTTCACATGGGATTGAACTGGTATCTTGTGATCTGACCTGTGAAGCACTAATCACTGTGCTATAGACCCACAGGTCTTTTTTTAATTTAATTGATATTATATAATGGTTGATTAAAATAATATTATATTCTTGAATCTTATATTAAATAATTTTGAAGGTCAAGTTTTTGAATAATTAGGCTTGATCAATTTGAGAGGCACTGATAGAAGTTATAAATATATATACTTTTTTATCAAATTGTTGATCTATATCTATATTATTGGAAAGGAATTAGTAAACTAGTTGTTTGATTGTAAGATGGCAACTTTTATTAATGAACTGTTTTTGAAATATATGTTAAAGTTTTTCAGAACTATATAGTAAAGTTTGTTATAGATTGCAATTTGAGTAACTTGATGAAGTTATTTGACTGCAATTTTTCTTTCTGCCTGATCATGTGATAGATAGACTACCATAATAAGAATATAAACTTTTTCTTTAAATTTGAATGATATTAAGTTATAGTATTCTAAATAGTTGACAATATTATATATGTGAGCAGTTAAACTATTTTTAATAATAAGTGTTGTTTTATTCTTTACAGATGTTTTGAAATTTCCATATATTATTAATCTGCCATTAATGTTTTTGAAATAATAATCTTCTTGTTTGAATTTAGTTTTTGTATGATGCGTTTCATCTAAAGATTAAACAGTCTGAAATTTTCATTCTGCAGATCATTAACAATCATATGATATTTATCCAATAAAATACTCTGAAATCACAATAAGAATTTGTAGTTTTCATTGATCAAATTTTATTTTAAAAATTATTAAATTTAAATTATTTGTTCATAATGAAATATTTTTGAAAAAAAAGAGTATTGATGATTATACTCTAATCCAAGATTTTCTTTATTTTACTTATAAAATGTTATGCTAGCTAATATTCTTTCAAAAATCCTTTTCGATATGAAAAGTCAAATAATTTCACTTCACTCACTTAATCTCTTTTGGCTAATATTTGCTTTAACTGGGGATTTTTATATATAAACCCTTGGTATTCTATTATATTATAAATATATATTAATAATAATTAAATAAATTATTTAATATATAAACAAAATTATCTAAAGATGGTCTTGGCATAGCGATCAACAGATTGATGCCCTTGTTTAATTTTTGAATCTCTGCTTGTCTAATATTATTATATCAAATATTTGATTGTGAAGAAGTTCAATTATCAGTATCAAAAAATGTCAGAGTTTTACCTAATATTGTCAACATTACTAATAATGATATAGCAATACAAGCAAAAGATTATACATTACCTGATCCAGTTAAAGTAGTGCCTAGAACATCATGATCAGCTAATAAGAGTGGTATTATCCTTGTTTGAACTTCTGTTAATTTTTTAAATCACATCTCCTTAATAGCTTTTCTGATAGTTTCTGAAATCTCCAATAATTTGAAATCGTAATTGATATCTGTGGCCATATCAGTTAATAAAACTATAAATTGAATTGCCTTGACAAAATCTTAATTTGATAAATTAATGCGAAGTTGATCTACACCATAAGTTTCAATCTATAGTATTTTGTTAGAATAGTCGCCTACTATAGAATCATTGAGTTTTTGTTTTTTACTCTTATTTTCTGTTTCTTCCTCAGAATCAATTGTTTTATTATTGTGATCAGAAGTAAGTTCAACTTTTTCTATCTTCAAATTCTCCAAATTGTTTTAAGATAAAGAAGTTACATTTTTTTTGAACTTTCAAACTATTTAAATTATCAATCCCCATTTTTTATGTACTATTTGAATCAAGTTGTTGTTGTCCTTACATCTTCTTTTTATTAAATCTCTTTCTTTTCTTTTCATTTTTCATCTTTTCTCTAACTTCCATTATTTTTTATTGACCTTTTGATTTTTTTTTAGCAAACTTACTAAACTTATAATCATTTCTAAACATAAATAAATTATTAATTGTTCTGTTGGCAAATTCAAAGAAAGAATAAGACAAAAATAGTATTAGAATAAAAAATACTTGGTTCTACAGCTTTATAAAGTGCTTTTGTGATTGATGCTTTTTGCCTTTTGGTTTGCTCCTTCGCTTATGCTTGTGATTTATCAGTTTGTAATTTGATATTATCTCCTTTAAGTCTTGTTTGTTTCTTATAGCAGTCAGTATCTATCATTTGATTAAAGTTGAATTAAATTTGTTTTTTAAATCATTTTCTCACTGCCAATCTTATTATCCTTAATAAATTTGATATCCACCAATCACACCCATAATCTCAAAAAGTTGATTAAAAAGTTCCATGCTTTGTTTTGATCCATCAATCTTTATCTCTTATTTAAAAAATATGTTATCACTTTCAAAATTGTAGAGTATGCTTACTATACTTGATCTTATAACAATATAATAGCCAAGACAAAATTTTAACCTATCTTTGGCTATTCCTATACTTCCACTGCCATCTAAAAATTTTGAATAAAGTAAAATTCAATTTTAATATTATTAATTAAACAGCATATACTTATTTATATTATATACCATACACTTATATTTCTTTGAATTTCTGGTTTAAAAAATTGATTGAATTAATTTGTTCATAATTCATTCCATATATCTTCAGGGATTCTTTTGTACAATTTATATTTTTAACAGCATATTCTGCTAACTTACTTATAATTTTTATGTTTATACAAATTCATATCATTATGTTTTTCATGCAAATCTATGAATTATTATTAAATCAACAAAATCAAGAGCACAAGGAACTGTTTCTTATAATCCACTTCATATATAAATATAGTTATTTCTTATATATTGTTTGGCTACTTCCAATAACATTCAATAAAATCCAATTCACAATGAAATTTTGGCAAAAAAATATAGACATGATCAGAATTTTTAATCGTTTCAATTAAATCTGATTTTTGAGCCAGAAAATTTGATTGTAGAGATATAATTCTTTTTTCACAACAATCTATATATAAAGAATCACTGTTTTCATTTCAACATAATTTGCATTCTCCTATTATATTTTGTCTTCACTATTCTCTTTCACACAAAATTTGCTTTATACCTTTTGGCTGACTATCAAGAAAATTCATACTTTGTTTTTTATAATTCAAACTCCAAAAAGTATTATGCATTTGCAATATATTTTCACCAAATCCAATATTCATTCTTTTTGCAACCAATACATTTGATACAAATATAGAATGATTTGAACTATTGTCAAAAATGAATACTGCAATGTAATTTGGAAATAAAGCCTTAAATATAGGAGAATGCAAATTATGTTGAAATGAAAACAGTGATTCTTTATA